GTAATTATAAGTGATAATATGTGTAACGAGAAAGTACTGTAAATATAACGATTATTGATTAATCGATATTCGATTCAAATTACGAAAAAAATTAATATGATTATTAATAATATTATGACAGAAATCATAGACCGAGTAAAAAGATTTCCGGAAGATGGTGAACCATCGTTTAGGCCCAACTTAAACATACTCTCCGAGTCGAAAGCAAATTGTGCCGATTATGTCGTTATCACTATTATGGATTGTTGGGCGGAAAATCCAGAACTTAGGCCAGACTTCAAAATGATAAGGACTAGATTGAAGAGAATGAAAGCTGGATGGCATCGAAATATAATGGATCAAATGATGAATATGATGGAGAAATATGCGAGCAACCTCGAAGATCTAGTCACCCAGCGTACGGGACTTCTCTTGGAAGAAAAAAAGAAAACTGAAGATCTTCTTCATAGAATGTTACCTAAGTAAGTTTTCACAAACTGATATGCTTATTAGTAAAAAATAATAAGTATGGCTATAAAATTGATCTGAATGACAAATATATGTATTTACAAAATATTGTTTCATTTTAGGCCTGTTGCAAATTGTTTGACAAATGGTATTGGGGTAGAACCAGAAGCTTTTGATTCGGTTACTATATACTTCAGCGATATCGTTGGTTTTACTGCAATGTCAGCTGAAAGTACACCATTTCAGGTATATATTCTCACTTATTGGTTTATAATAAGTAAAACGAAAATGTTATTTATGTAATTGATAATTGTGACGACAGGTTGTAAATTTTTTAAATGATCTGTATACATTGTTCGACCGTATAATCAGAGGATACGAAGTGTACAAAGTAGAAACGATTGGAGATGCCTATATGGTCGTGAGTATACTGTTAGAAATTTCGTAATGAATTTAAATATGTAACTTGTGGTTATGAATAGTAATGAATGGTTTAATGGAAAACTAAGTTAAATATAACGAATGTGTGCATTAAATTTCATGCAAATCCATATAAAATTTTATGGAAAATACATTAAATTTCATGTACATGTATATATTTTTCAATTGCAAATATTATATATTAAATTTAATGTAATATCATGAAATTAATTTTATTTTTAACAGTGTAGCATTTTTACTTAATTAATTACGAAAAAAATGATTTCCCAATGTTCTCAATACTTTATTCAGGTTTCTGGTCTTCCCATAAGAAATGGAGATCAACATGCTGGACAGATAGCATCAATGTCGCTGGAATTACTTAATGCTGTTAAACATCATACAATAGTTCATCGACCTCAAGAAACTCTCAAGTTACGTATCGGCATTCATACCGGTAAGAAAAGATGCATTCAGAAACACGCATATACATGTATGTATGCACGCATATGCATATATACATCATTATATTGCTCAGTAATAAAATTGAATATAAAATTACAGGTCCTGTGGTAGCGGGCGTTGTTGGTTTGACGATGCCTAGGTATTGTTTATTTGGAGACACCGTTAATACTGCGTCTCGTATGGAATCTACTGGAGAGCCATTACGAATACATATCAGTAAGCAATGCAAAGAAGCGCTAGATAAGATCGGAGGTTATAAAATCGAAGAACGTGGTTTCGTTGAAATGAAAGGAAAAGGAACAGTGAAGACTTACTGGCTTACAGGAGCTACTGTGACACACAGAAAGAACATAGAGGTTTGTGAATAAAAATTTAGAATGTCTGAATGAGTTGTACGAAACATGAATATGTGTAGTGTAATAAGGATCTATTTTTCAGAATTGAAGATTTTTTTTTCTTAATTAACTCTTAAAATTACTGAAATTATGTCAAATAATAAATTAATATCAAGAATAAATTTTAGAGTATCCAAAATATATTTTTCTCTTTAGGAATTTCCATTAAATTTATTTTAAATTAAAAGATAGTTTTTATATCGTTTATTTTAATATTTAAAATTAATCGATTAATGAGCTTGTTAAATTTTAAACTTACACTGAAGTTATCTAATAGACTGCTCTCTAATCTTTATGTTTCTACAGAATTCTAACGGGGATGAAAATCTTCTACCGCTGTTCTGCAGACCACGAAAAAGCCCGAAGCTAAGTCCAGACTCGCGATACGCATCACAACTAGAAGGATTAGGCGCCGGTAGTCGCAGACATTCAAGTGTACCATATCCAATTGCAGATGATTCTTCTTCGCAGTGTGAGATATCTAGTCCAGTTCCGCGAACAGTATATGCTCGCAAACTCGAGAGATCTCCCCTGTCTCTGACTGAAAACGTCTCGAAGACCACGCTAGATAATGTTTCAGTTCAGGAAGAAGAAGAAGCGCATAGGCGCTTAAATATCAAGTCGGTAGATGATCTGTTCATAAGTGCGGGACCAAAATTGAGAAAAAACGCTCGTGCATTATCTACCATCGCGTCCTCTTCGTCAAGTGACTATCCATGTGAAACTGTCTTACGCGAATCCCGTTCACTTGACCCGCTTCCTACTGATGTGTATAATAAACGATTCGAATCGCCGAACTTCTGGAAGGAAAACGAATGCATGCGGATGAATTTAAAAGCGGACATTTCTGAAAAAATGCTGAATAATAATTATCCTAATGGTAATGTAATAATGATGTCTCACATTGACAGGCTCCCAAATGAAGCAGAGCCACTGTTAGATGACGATAGTACGAACAAGAGAGAAATACGCGAGAAGCGATCACGCTCACTAGATCAGGTGGTATTCGAATCTAGCACGGACAGTGTACCTGATAAAAAGTCGTCTGCGCGAAAGTTATTAGAAATTCCACCTGTTTCGACTATTATCCAGATGTTCAATGGTAATGGATTGCGCAACAGCAATGTCTCTTTAAGAAGAGGAATATTAGCAGGGTATGATAAACAAACCGAACGCGAAAGTGTAGTCTAATATGCATTCGAGAAAACAATTTTTTTTAATACAAAAAGCTTAAAGCAAGAAGTAAAATCACGCGTAAAAATTATACGCTTGCCAGACGCATAAACTGTGTGGAACATTACTTTACGAATGATAAGCATGATTTATTGTTGCCATCTTTCTAGCTTAGATACGTGCAATTTATATGTATATGAAAGTTACCGATTACAATGTATATATTTTTAATATTTAGTTATTTTACAACTCTTATTGTACTAAAATGTGTGCATCGAAACGGAAAACAACTTTTACTTTATACAGGACTGCTCTCCTGTTTTTTTTGTTAAGATTTTTAATTCGAATGTGTGTAACACATGGAAACAGCAAATTATTTTAAAAAATCATGACCAAAGTACATCACGGACACTTAATTCATCCGACAATTCATTTCGTTTAATAGTATGAAAAAGGAATTAGAACAGTATCGCGTATAATTGATGTCAGAATGGTTTAGATCTTTTTTTATTTTGTAGGTAACTTTTATAGTTTTATTTCTGTGAAATAAGTAATGTAAGTCGTCCGCGCGTTGTTAGAAATTTCATCTATTTCGACTATTATCTAGGTGTTCAATGATAATGACGACTATTATCTAGATGTTCAATGGTAATGACGACTATTATCTAGATGTTCAATAATAATATATCATTTATGCAACATAATAAATCTGTAAAGATTACCTAATGAAAAATTTCTCATTGTTCCAATATCGATTATATATATGCACACAATTAAAATTAAATGTGAAACATAAATATATAAGACGTGTGTATATGTAATACATATTATATATTAGCACACATGTGTGTCTATATCTGTAAGTCTATTTTTGTTCATTGATGGAAGTAAATTGTCCGTATGGCTGTGAGAAGTAAACTAGATTACACTTAAGGTGCTTAGTAATATATCATGTTGTTAAATGTATATAACTAAATAATAATATATCAGTGTAAAAAGAAAAATGTAAATTAAAAAAATATTTCCTCCTATATAAGAGATAATTAAAGAGTCTTCTCGAAATATTAACCATCTTCGTTAATGTTGCTTAACTTACACTTTTCTTTCACACAGATGCGAACTTTGCCGCAGAGCATCCTTAAGTCATTATTTTCATACTATACAATTAGCAAGTAGGTTTGTTGGAACATGTTGGAGAATACGACAAACCTAGTAAATCGGATTTTGGTATTTTTCGATAGCACATTGTTTCAGAATTATTTTGGCACTAAATATATGCGAGCAAATTGGGGCATTGTATAAGCGATCAATAAAGTACGTAGCGCGCTGATTGGCTGAGAAGAGCCGTGTACTTGTGCTTCACGAACTGAATGTTTTTTACACTTTACAGGTAGTAAATAAATCGGGTATTAGTACATTTCGATAGTATACTATCTCAGGATTATTTTGCTACCAAAAACATGTAAGCAAATAATTCTGGGAAGATAGAAAAATAACTCAAAACTCGCCGCGAAGTGTCATGAGATAAACTAATTATTTTCACACTTTACAGTTATCAAATAAATCGAGTTTTGTGTTATTTCGATAGTGTACGTTGCCTAAGCATTATTTTGGTACTAAAATTATGCGAGCAAATATCTTTATGGAGGTAGGAATGGAATTCGAAGAAGCGCGACATAGACCGCGCCGCGCGTGTCGGTATATTTTTTTAAAAATATAAAATTTTTTAATTTTTGTTGACGCTATTTTGGAGCAAATAAAAAACAAAAAATTTTGTATGTTTGATTTCATTGTAGCTTTTATTGTATCTATTTTTTTTTTAATATGGTTTTTCTACGGTATCTATTTTTTTCAATATCCAGCTTAATATTAACCTGGATCCCCTTTTTATTTTTTTTCCTGCTAAACGCCTGGAGCAAAAAAATTTGTTTTCGAGCAAATAACAAATAAAAAGTATAAATTTTTAATCATGTCCCCATACAATTTGCGATGATGGAAGGTCCAGGTTCATGGAAATCAGATAGTACTTTCATACAGAATATTCACCTGCCTAAGTTAACTGAAACTCTCGTATATTTACACATTACAACATATAAATTATTATACATAATCATGTTTCTCTATGATGCATCTCGTAAACTAATGGCAGAATAAATTAATCCTGACCACTGAGAAATTTTGACATGAAATCAGTTGGCTTTTTTTCCCACGTTTCTTTCCAATAATGCATAAGTGCTCCTGTAGGTTTCCACACATTAGCTACTTCTTGCAATTCCATTTGACCCTGTCAAATTATATAATTTTATATGTTGTATCATAAGTAAATTTAATTATTAAATCAGTATAAATACTATCATTTTTATATTTTGATTAATAAATTATATAAAACATTTATTTTATCATATGCACTGTCAGTACATGGCCACGATACTGAAAATATAGTACAAATAATAAACCAGATTTTCAGTATAGGAGCGTATATTGGAATAAAGCCTATAAAATTTTTTTCAACAGTATGTATATACTACATATATCATGAATATTATTTGTAGATAATTAATGTTACATTAGCTGGCTATTTATATAAAAATTAATGTATATACTCAAGAGATTTTTATTCCTACCTTTATAATAAGTTTGTCTATAATCCGTAAATCAGTAAGATGAACATGACGCTTAAACTCCTCACGTATCTTTCGTTTACAATCTGCTTCACTTTTGGGAATATCGTAAGATAATACTAAAAAGAAGAAGTGGTAAATAATAAGTAAGTAATAATAAAAAAAAGAAGTGATTGTTACACATTTGAGAACGTAAAATATGAAATAACAAGATCAGAATAGCTTTATGTAACAGAAAATAATTATTTTATATTATTGAAAATGAACATATTAAGAAAGTAACGAGTTTTATTATAAGATTTAATGTATTGTATGATACTGTAAGCAATGCAGGTAAGATAAACGTTGACATATTTGAACAATTAAAGGATATAAATGAATACTCGTACTTATAGGTACAGTGACCATATTTTCTTAAAGAAAATAGAAGATAATTCTAAAAATTTTAGGGTTTTGTTGCTATATGTTTTCAAACCAAGGTATCAATTATGTAATTTTTTCCCTAAGATGGAAAGGTGAAGTGAAATTTTTTTGTATGGTGTGTATACATATATATATAAACATACATACATAAAAATTTTCACTTTTCACATTTTTGCTCTAGAGAAACAGATACATATCGATAACCAGTTTGTGACTATCTGTGCATTATAAAATTTTATTGCACAGTATAATCAAATTGAGATAATGTACAGTGCTTCGGAGCTGGTTTGACTATATTAAAACAAACCCTTGATCTGAAATAATAAAAAAGGTTCGAAATGATAAAAAAATGAAAACAACTAGTTTGAATAAATTTAATTTAAAAAATTAAAAAATATAATTAACAAAAACCAATTGTATTTATATGTATGAAACTGTAAAATATTTTCCGTAAAAATTTGCTCATTAATAGGCCTGTTCTTTTTAGCTAAATTTTTTGCACAGTTCATCTTTCTTCCTTTTCTTTCCACGTTGGAGAGGAAAAGAGAAAAGATGAACCGTTCTTTAGCTAAAAAGAACAGATCTAATATAACTGGTATATAGGTTGGAACGCTAGTTAGAAAAGAGAATTTCCCGTAATGTCAAGATAAAAGAGTAAAGGACAATACTGGAAAATAAAGGACAAAATTGAGTTTTGAAGAAACAAATAAATCTAAAGAACAGCTACCTAAAATAAAGGACTTTTACAACAAAGGACGTATGATCACCGTACTTATAGGTTACAGAGTACAGGTTAGGTAACGAAAAAGCTTGCAATTTGTAATATATGACAATGAGAGTTGTGTACATGAGATTGGTACTTGACGGATCCACGCTTTGTACAACGTAAGCACTTTTCGACGCGCATCTTCTCGATTAATAGATAAAATCGGTCTCACTTGACGAACAACACTCGCAGTTCGACTAGCCATTTTAATCGAATTTAATTCACTAACATATTAGCATACTAACACTAACGCCGTTAACTCGGTCGACGGCGACGGCACGCGACGGTCGACTGCCGTTAGCGCCGTCGGCCGTCGGCAAGTCGGCTACCGTCGGCCATCGCGTCGCATCGACTTGTCGGCTCGTCGGCTGCCGTCGCACAGTGGGAAACGGGACAATTCACTGTTCAAAAATCGCTACAGACCGTAGGATAAAAAATCATATTACTGACAGTGTATACATTACTATCAATCAAAATTAAAATGCATTTTGAGGTGGAAAAAGTATATCTTACATTATTTTATTAATTTTTAATAGAATTTTTAATATATCTAATTATTATTACAA